CAAGTATCCGTTGATCTCGAAGTGACTGTTGTCAATGACAAAGTCCAGAAGGTGCCGGAGATCTTGTTCACGAAAAATTCGAGGGATCTTGGTTTGACGGCGCCACTTTCCTTTGAACATACGGCGTCGATGATCTGACTTTACTTCGTACACTGACCATTGAGAGGAACTGCGAAGGCCAACCACTTGATCGTATCGATGGAGAAGCACTTGCAGCGCCTGGTGGAATCGTTCCGTAGGAATGGACGTGAAGAAGCCTGACAGGTCTTGCGACACCAGGTGGATGTACTCATCAGGATCTGCTTTTGACAGCGCTTCCCACAGCTGCTGGACAAGTTCTTGTACTGGAAGTTGACCTGCAATGTCGGGGAAGGCAGCTTTGGTAAGTTCAAATATGAGTGCACCGAAGACCGTGAGGAAGGGAGCTGCCCATGTGCGAAAGAATGAAATGATGGGTCGAGCTTTCTGCCAGTCCTTGGTCGGCTTTGGAAGGATGCGCGCTGTGGGCAACGGTGCTTGAAGTCGAAGTCCCCATGCATATCGTTGACGTAGGAGAGAAGGTACCGTGGTTACCACTTCAGAGCGAAAGGATGCTGCGGATTCACGGCAAAGCGAGAAGACATCCCCCGAGCAGAATGTCTTCCGCATCAGTATGGCAAACAGGGACGGACAAATCACATGTGCGCGGGAGGGAAAATGATCCGCTGGGATAACAACCCACGAAGACAAAGAAGCCACAGTGCGCTGCAACGATGTCGATGACCAATAAGCCCGATCTTGGAGGTTAGTTCGATGAGTGTCCATTAACTGAGTCAAAACCGGCTGCAGATCTGAAAGGAGACTGGAACCATGTACATGCCAACGGCGAGCAAGTTTGCGAAGTTGCGTGGTGAAACGTTGATGTAATAAGTCGACATCACCGAAATACTGATCCTTCATTGAGGCGGCCATGATTTCAGTGTCAATGTCCGCATTGATGCGAGAAAACTCATCCACCATTACAGCGTGACCATGTGCACGGTGTATATGGTGATCATCGATGTCCAAACAGCGACACGGAAAGGATGTTTCAGGAGTCCATCTGCGCTGCCATGTGCGGTAGTTGTATATCTTGTCGCCCAATGTGGCGCTGCGAGTTTCCACCACCCGGATCTTTGGAATGAAAAGAGAAGGGAACAGATCCCGATGAGAAGCAATCCAGCTTTGTAGCCATGTGCCAAGTAGAGCTTTCCAATTCCGGACATGCAGCGGCGGTAAGAGTAGCTGTGTCAAAGTGGTGGGTAGTTGTAGCCGTCGTTTGCGCAACACCTGGGCGAGGAGTTTCTGCGCCTTGGAGCGGAAGGGCTCGTTGACAAAGACTGCGAGCCGCAATAAGTAGTACAGCTGAGTGGGAGGGAAAGCCGCCGACAGCAGGTCACGCATGACTTGGAACGATGCTCCTGTATTCGATCCCAGCTGATAGAGAATAGAGTATTAATGGGCCTGAATGTCATCCAGGATGTCAGGTCGTAGTTGCCGTTGGAGATCCGGATGTAGTCGTCGTCGAAAGCGCTTGTGCAAGCTGAGGGAAGTGGGAGACGACAACGAGCGACGTCGAAAATCCACGAGATGTTCCCGGAAGCCCACCTTGCGCAAGATTCTGTGTACCCAGGGCGCATTCAAATGCGGGCGTAGCAAGTATTGCCATTTGCTTTCTTGAACCCACACCGAGGAAACAGGAAGTTTGATTTCCACCGGGACAGCACAGAAGAGCCAGTAAGTATTGGATCTCTTCCAGTAGTGAAGCGCTGGTTCGAAGAAGGCATGCCGTCCACGAAGTAGTTGTAGAAATTTGCGACTGCGTGAGTGTTCACGACGTAGAACATCCTGATCAGTCGCCCCAACATAGTAGGGTGTGTGCCATGGGGAAAGTCGAATGTAGACGCACGGTTGTTGATGATGACCTGGATCGTGTATGAAGTCATAGAGGTCAGGAAATCGCGCCCGCAATGAGCGTAGATGTCGCGTGTCAGCAAAAGTAGAGTGCATGATTTCACACAAGAGAGAAGTCTTGTAGAAGTGAAGGACTTCAAAGAACGGCGGGAAGTAGCCGTGATCTTGTGAAATGAGACGTTGTAAGAAACTAATCAATAAATAGGCAGTGCACCGACATCTGTGAAGCTCATACCTGTTGGCCACGGTGTGCTGAGAGTGTGACATAGCGTGATTCGGAATCTGAAGGGCTATCCGGACCACAACTAAGACTTCGAGGATGAGACCCAGCCACGGCAATTGTGTGATTGATTCGTACTCCTCAGTTGGAATCGACGGTGGTGGTAGTCCAGGAAAACAGTACTGCCAGCACGTAGAGAACATGGTCAACGAGTGTAGAAGGTCGTCCAGCGACTGCCATTGTGCAACATCATCATAGATTCCGCAGCGGCGAAGTTCATCCAACATGGTGAGATACAACCAATGAAATCTACCACAAGGCGGCGACATGAATACAAGCATCACAGACAATCACACAAGAGGCAATGCAAGAACGAGCAAGTACAAGATCAATCTGGTGCAACGCAGACACTTGACGGACGAGTTTTCACCTGGACTCATCCGTGACATTGTTGCCGCTCCGGGCTCATAAGAGAACGAAGGTCATCATGATGCCTTCTCATCCACAGAGTAGGCGAGCGGTCACGATGAGGTGACTCAATGCCTTCTCAGTGAGTTTGGTAAGATAGCCGGGCTCTAGTCCCCACGAAGCCGCCATCGCCCCGAGAGTGGGTGCGTCGCCTTTCGGCATGCGTTGCCGCGCCTGAAGGAGCTGCGTCGCCATAGAATCTAATGACTTGTTGCCGTTGAGCCGGGACGGGTGATTGGCCCACTTAACCAGCGATGCCAAAGTGGTGGTTGTGGGTGATTGCTTGAGATAAAGGCGAGGTTGGTCACTGGTCCATGTGTAGTACTTGACAACTTCATCCGGCGTGCTGTGCATGGTGAGCAATTGTGACGCCGCCGGTTTGGACGGCGGTGACGACACTCCGTGAAGAGACTGAATGATCCGAGGTTGCACCGCGCTATCAAACGACTTGCCATCCAGGGCCGCTGCGCTGGCTGTAGGAAGGGAGCTGGCAGGTGACGAGGATGGTGTGTGGTTGACCGGTGGCGGTGTAACCAACTCTGCATCATCCTTCTGGTTTGTCATCGTGGGAGAGGTCGAAGCGCGAAGCGATGCGGAATACTGAGCTTGGAGAAGTTCGTGCGCGCGATTTAGATCATTGTACTTTTTGACCATGTCATCTGTCTGGGTGGCAGGTGCGAGAGAGGTGTGATGTTGCTGAAGAAATTGAAGTACCAAGCTGGCCAAATGGTCGTGGACCTTGATGCGCTGATTGAAGTCATCGATGTTGAGACCCAGCGTGTTGGCAAGGTCCTTCTCCAGGGTGAGCAGGTTGAGTGACTGTGATCTTCGTAGTAGTTTGGAACAGGTACTCCAAAGTAAGGCCTCGGTGCGAGTGCGAAAGCCTTCCCACGTCACGAATCTGCCGTGAGCAAACGGCCGGAGTAGCCAGTTGGTGAGGCCCCCGTGGATAACCTGAACCAGGCGTACGTCCCTAATATCCATGCCTGACATGTCGCGAAGGTTGCCATGCGGAGTGTTGGCAACAGTCATGGGCAGGCTGAAGTTGTAGAGCTGATTGACATCAAACATGCCATCTCCAGGTGTCCAGTCAGGCGAGGGTGTAAGCCAGGCTTTCTGAGGACGAACCGGTAGAGCCGCAGGAGGTCCAGGTGGCGGTGTAGGTTGGGAAGTAGTGACCGGTGGTGGCATCACGGGTGGCATGAACTTGGTTGGCGTGGGGTCTGGAGGGATCGGCATCATGTAGTTGATCGCTGGGTGTTGGAATTGCTGTGTGGGATTGTGAGTCGATTGAAAGTTGGTAGGTATCATCGGAAAGTTGTTGGCAGCGTTGTAGCCGGAATTGTGTTGCCATGAAACCAGGTTGTTCCAATCCATGTTCTCCGAGACCTGGCTGTCATTGTGTTCACGTCGGCGTGCTTTGCGAGCTTGAGGGGAAGGACTCCGATCACGTCTGCGCCGAGTCCTAGATCTATCTCGATCTTCACGTCGAGACATGATGGCACAACAAATGCAACACCGCAACTCAACACTCTTGAGAGGAACAAGTCCGATAAATGCAAGTCCATGCAAGTTCAAGCCAGCAGCCAACGGTAGACCGAGTGAGACGTCGCTATGATCTGACGGCTTTCTTCCCTTTAGTGAAACCTCGTTCCTGGTTAAATGTGAAATTCCGCTGTTCTATGATAAGCACGTTGAGGTCAAATTTTCCGACAGAGCCGGCCCGGGGTCACACAATGGGTACACCCGAGGATTCCCCACGAATGGGGTGTACACACTTGAACTCCAGATGGAGAGTGCTAATCTTTCGAGTACAACTGATGAGTCTCGAGTACAACTGATGAGTCTCGGCTGAGTTCGCTTGCAAGTCACTCGGCTTCTCTCTAGAGGCGAAAACGTTACCCGAAAGAACAAGAAGCACAAACAGCGCCGCAACCAAGGGGGCCAAAAGGACAGCAACATCACTTTACACATGCAGGTACGCTGGGATGATCAGTCCCAGTATCACCACCGATGGCAAGTGTCTTCGTTGGCAGGAGACTTGCCATGGTGCTCCTGCCCCCTGCTGCAGCGGAAAAAGGTTTTGGTGGCAGGGTTTTCTGCCACTCCGCACACACACACACACACACACTTCTTTGAGGCCTTAGGGGCCCAGAGGGTCGTTCCCCCCGAACTGTGGCGTAGTAACTGTTCGCAGGGTCTCTACACTCAAAAACCCCAAGGAACACTTACTAAGAGCAGGGTCCGGGGCTCAACCTCAGATTATACTCCTCTCTCAGATTCTGTCTAACATCTAAAATTTAGCCAACCCCACAAAAATCAGCCATCCCCCAAGACCCCAAGATGGGTCTTTGGTTCCTCGCGGGCTACCTTCCGATGCCTCGCGCTCCACGTACTCCGAGGCGACGAAGGAGGCCAGGCTCTCGCGCTCGGGGACGGGCGCCTAGGGAACTGGGGGAAATCCAGGCGCAAAAAGAAATGAAGCCATGGGAAGCCACTGTTGGTATTTACGTCGGAATCGACGAAGCCAGGGTTTCTGAGAGGTGCGCAATGGAGTTTGCAACCATCATGTGTCCAGTGGTGAGACAGGCGTCTTTGTTGGGGGCTCTCTGAGTAGGGCTACAATCGCGGCCGTGTTTCTTGTGGTTTCCCGGTGAAATGCCCATTACACCCCAAATGGCTTGAAGGCTTTGTGTGTTATTTTTAGTTGGGAACCCTTTGGTGGGGATTTATGTCCACCAACCACTTTGGAGGTGGTTCCCTATCAAAGCAACAATATTCTACTACAAATCCGTATAAAACCAAGTAGTAGAACTGCCTACTACAATGGCCAATGGGGAGTGTGTCCACCCCCCTGCCCCGACCAACCCCGGAGAAGACACCCAAAGACCCAAAAACAACTCGGCGCCAAAAAAAGAAAGCGGCGCCAGAAAATGGGCTGGTGACCTGCTATACTGGTAGCTGGGTTCTCACCAAAACAACTGAACAACCTGCTGGCCTCTGCTTCCGCCACCACTCCCTGCGGCAAGTCCGCGCCCTCCGCGCGCGGGGCCTGGCCCGGCGAAGAATTTTCACAACGATCAAAGTCGCCCCTCGATGAAAGCAAACAGCCAGAAACCTGTCTGTGAGAGAGCCCTTTTCCCAAGCAAGAAAGACATGACTTTGATCACAAGCCATGACTTTGAGAACCCCCTGCCAACGGAGAATGGCTTATCATATTTTTTACATATAATTATATATTTGTATATATGGTTGATGCAGCTACGGGCGACTTCCCCTGTCATGTCCTCCTGAACCCGCTTTCAGGTTCCGTGCTGTTTTTGCGCAACCCCATTTAGGTTTGGTCGCTTCCTGCACATGCTTACACGGAAATTGCGGATGCACTTTCTACTGTCTCCCTGGCGTCCCCTACAAATTAACGGAAGAAACCTTGAAAAGAGGTCTCCCTAAAACGCAGATTCTTCCACCAAACGACTGGGGTGCATTTTAGGGTTCCATCTTCATTTGCGGGGAGTATCCTCTAAGTCTGCCTGGCACAGAAAAAAAATGTTGGACGCGAGGCCACAGCCCTGAGCTTCAGAAGCCCATGGCGTCTCGCCGCCTTCGCCGGCGCTTTGCGCGTCAGGGCCATGGTGATCACGGCGCAGAACATCAGCGAGGCCCCCACCAGCGTCAAGGCCGTGGGCACCTGGCGAAACGACGCTGGCTGCAAGCCGCTGCCCAAAAGCCGCTGCCCAAACGAAAGCTGCAAGCCGCTGCCGGGTGTGTATATGTACATATATATATATATATGTATACGTATATCCCTCTAGATTGACAGATAGATAACCAAATAGAGTAGGATAGCTAGATAGCAAAATGGATAGAAATCGTCGATTAGGCAAATTTGACAGATTGGAGAGCAAGAAATTAGAGAGCAAGGAAGCAAGACAAATTAGCTTGATAGCTAGGTGGACAGATAGCTACACAGCTAAATTTGTAGATGGCAGATAGGGTAAATACATGAAATAGATTAGATAGATTTGATGGATTGATAGACAGGTACATACGTAGATAAGTAGATAGCTATAAGAACAAATAGATAGCTATCTAGATAGCTAGATAGCTACATGGATAGGTCAATCCACAGATTAGATAAACAGACAGACAGACAGACAGACAGACAGACAGACAGACAGACGGACAGACAGACAGACAGACAGACAGACAGGCAGACAGGCAGGCAGACAGACAGACAGACAGACAAACAGACAGGACGAGGTGAGCTAGGTAGCTGGCTAGCTAGCTAGGTAGCTAGGTAGGTAGAGGGATTGATAGAGAGATAGATGGCTAGATAGATAGATTGATGTTTGTATTTGTATATATATATATATTATGCATACATACATCTAGAGAGAGCGAGAGAGGTTCGGGGTACCCTTTTTTTGGTTGGTTTGAAGGGCAGACAAACGTAAAGCCGCCAATTTGGGGGCTCCCTTTTCTTAGACAAAGCCATGTATATATGCTACCCCCTCCCCCCCCTCATGTTGTCTTTGAGGATGAAGGGTATTCAAATAGGATTCTAAGATAACATCCAGCCCGGTCCTGAAAGAACTTACGTCGTTTGTGAAATCCATGCAAACTCTAATTAAGCAACATGTCACCTCAACTTCGAAAAGGAATTCCTATTTAAACAGCTCGAAGGTCACTTGGGAGAGGAACTCATCAACAGATAAATGTTGTTACTTGCAAAGCAATCCCTATCAACATTCTGTGGCGCTCATCTGATTGGAGTTAATCATTGTCAATAGCATCGATTGAGAATCAAACATAGGAAGAATGTCCGATTTAAAATGCTGCATCGTGTTCAAACGAAGCTCAACTTTAACGAGTGGCAGTTCCATGTGCATTTTGAATAAGCAACAACAGGAAAACAACTATTGACATTTCCAGTTGAAACTGGAATCAAATTCAATTTTAAATGGGATATGTTCCTTATGTAATTCCCTGTGAAAGCAAGAACTAAGCGAAGCCAATAACAGAAAAGTGTCTCTACACATGGATCTGCTTAAACGCTTTGTTTTTCAGCATTTGCTCAGATCGTGCTCCCCTGGATTGCATGCGTCGAACGTTTGTTCTCCGCAACATATGGAAAACACTTTCCATCCCAGAGGACCCCAAAACAGCCCCAGGATCCTCAATTAGGAAAAGTACGTTCCAACAAATGAGGCCCCAATTATTAAACAGGGGGAACATGAGTCCCTGATTTCTATGAGCCAATTGAATTTGTGGCACTCAAGTTGATTGCCACGAAGTTACATGTATACTGGCAACTAAACATCCTCAATTTGACGCTTGGAAAATGCAGTCTTTTTCTGCCTTTTTGGATTCTTCAAATCCATTCTCCGGAGTATTGGGACAGTAATAGATGTTGTTTAACCAACTAAAAACATTGATTCAAGATTCCCGAAAAAGAACTGTCTCTGATTCTTGGATCTCAATTTGCGTGTTTGCAAGAGAAAAGTGTGTCCTAATATTCCTGAGATGCACACAGACACAATGGCAAATGGTGATATCGTTGCTTACCCCCCCCCCCCCATTCTGACACAAGAACAATACTGCAGAACACTGAAACTAGCTAAAACACACCGCCAAAACCAAACAACACACCGGTCTATGGGGGTGGGATATGTGCATATACATGTGATTACTCATTGCCTGGGCATTGAAGCCAGAGTGAAACAAAGGTACCGGGCTCTCGTGAAAAGACCCCGAAGAGAGAAAAAAGATCTCCCATTGTCTTGCTTGTCCTTTAACGAACCCCCAGAAAGGGCATCCTCCAGTATGGGTGGCTGGGAAGGGGAAAAAAGGAAAACCGCACATGCCATTAGATCCTGAATCATTAAACTGTAAATAAAGGAAAATATGATTGAAGAGATAGATGAATGAGAACAGATATTAAGATAGAAAGAATTATAAAATAGTTCTCATTCATTCACTTTGTTCATGATATCTTGTCTTTTTCATCCTCATCCAACATTAGAATTATTTGGTTGGATGAAAGGATGAGGTAGGAAGGGAATGAAAATACATATCAAAAAGGTACCAAATAGAAAATATCATCCAATATTAAACCGTTTCAAGTGAGTTCTCGTGAATTCTTCTCTTTACTGTCATTCACTTTTCATTTACTATCTTACATTATCTTTTTTGATTCATAATTAGAAGATACATATTAAAGAAGAAATAGAAAAGAAAATACATATGAAAATAAAAGAATTCTAAAGAAGAAGCAAAGAGAAATAGAAAAGTGTCTTTATGGAAAGGCTGTAATCACTTCTTTCTTCCTTGTAAGCCTTTCCATCCGTTTGGGGAAGGCGTTCTGCAAAGGCCAATTGAGGGAAACGAAACACCTCCATCAACAAATCCAAGTACTCCATGGCCCTCCAATCTCACGTAAGGAACCCCGCACGGCGATGGACCCAACCAGATTTGGGCGAGGCTGTGTCAAAATAGAAATGTGGACCCCAAGAAAAGATCTCGGTGTTCATTTTGTTCCCTAACCCACCTGAAAGGACACCGACTCCAAAACCGCACGCCCAACCCACCCCCTCCAAACGAACCAATCCAAACCACTCAAGGCCACCCCGCGACTTCCGGCATTCCGGCCGAAAGGCGCCTCCGTTTCCACACGTCTCGCCGTCTCCGTTTTTCCCCGGCGCTTTTTTCGTTGGACCCCCGCGGCGCCTTGTGAAAGATCATAAGGTCCAGCAGGAAGCCGGTGACCATCTGGGTGCCCGTGATCAACGTCGAGCTCAACGCTGCCGGGCAGAGCTTGGCCTGCGGGCAGGAGTTGGCTTCGAGCGGAAGAACCCGCCGGGTGAGGGATAGGCTTAGATGAGATGAGTTTGGTGGAGTGATCCCCGAAGAGAGAAAAAAAAAGAAAGAAGAAGGAATCGCCAGTGGTTTTGGGCATATTTTGGGGCCAGATGGATTTTGTTTGTTGTGTCGAACTTCGAGCGAGTTGCGGCCATAGACTGGGCCAAGTTCGCCAAGAAGAGCAGCACGATGCAGATGCCCAGGAAGAGAAGGAACTTCCTCGAAACTTCGATAGGCCAACCCATTGGCTCACAACGGATACCACCTGGATTGATAGGTGCGATCAGATGTTTTTTTCATGCACTCACAACCCCAAGAACCGATCGCAACAGTGACTGAAAAAAACGGTTGCACGGCAACTTGGCTATCCTGGCAGTAAATGACTCGCTCAGAGCCGGCTATTCGGACCTTGTCGCCAGAATGGTCGCAAGAACACATGAGAAGGTTCCAAGAAGCCTTTTCGTGGGGAGTGTGGGGTCCCATCTAAAACCATCCTTGAAATGGATCCCATTGCACCCTTACAAACCATATAACCGCAGAGAAACTCCCATTCAAACCCATATTATAAACATCATGTGTTCAAGGTTCCAAGAAAAAGGCAAACCCCCCCCCAAAAAAAAAAAAAAAAAGCGGTTGGAAGCTTCGCGCGTTTCTTTCTCTCCAGGTGTCTCCGGGTAGGTCCACACCAGCTCGAGCTGGCCGTCCGGCACCTTTCATGTGGGGACTTGGATCTCCTTTTGGAGGTCCCAACCAACCTCTGGGCTTCGGGTACCCGGGTACCCTTTACCAAAAACCGGGGAAAAGGAACCTCTGGCCCACACCGAAGCCAACGACCACTTGGATGAATAGGAACCTCTTGCCCAAACCGCAGCCAAAGACCTTTTGGGAGAAAAACCACTTGGATGAATAGGAACCTCTTGCCCAAACCGCAGCCAAAGACCGTTTGGGAGGTGGAAAAGTTTTCTGCCAGCTGTTCTTCAAGTGTCCCTTGGGCCCAACTCCTATGGAAAACATGGCACCGAGGGCTCCCCGAATTTCAGGCGGGTGCCTTCGGTGAAGTGGGCGGGCTTCAGTCCAAGGTTCCCCCCCGAAAACAGTTGGCCCCAAAAGGAAACTTGCAAACCAGCCAGAAGAGAAATCTTTGGAGCTGCCCCCCAAAGGGGAAACAAGAACATCGGAATCGAGCCCTTCTTGGTCTTCTGACTCTGGCAACCACATTGAACTCCCCCCCCGCCTCCATATATATATATATATATATATATATTCATATATATATATATATATATGTATACATCAAAAAGTGGTCCATGGGAAAATCAAAAGGAACCGCACGCCACAAAACCCTTTCTTGGTCAGTCACTCAGACGTTGGCCCTTCCAATTCTTCGGCCCTTCCGATTCGGAGATTTGACGTTTCAGCCTTCGTTTCAACCGTCGTTCTTTTCAAAGACCGGATCTGTTTCCCCAGGCTGCTAGATCTGTTTCCCGAGGCCGGCTTTGTTTCTGGAAAAGACCAAAACCTGGAGTCAGAATGGTTGCAAGCTCTCGAAGCGCTAGAGTTTTTCATGAGGAACTCCTTCGGTGACCCCGGAGTTTGGGTATGTTCAGCTTCCCCTGAGTTGGCGGTTTGGTGGTTCACAAGAACCAGGAACCCGTGCAAACCACTAATCCAAACCACGAATCCAAACCACCAATTGGGGGTTACCTGAGGACCACCGTAAACTTTCCTCGGTTTGCGCGTGGCTTGCGTCTGGCTCAATTCCAAATCCAAATCCACCAATCCATCAACCTACAAGAACCAGGGGTTCAATTCCCCAAACCACCAAACCACCAAACCACCAAACCACCAAACCACCAAACCACCAAACCACCAAACCACCAAGCCACCAAGCCACCAAGCCACCAAGCCACCAAGCCACCAAGCCACCAAGCCACAAAACCACCTCCTTGTTTGTGTTCGGTATGCATCGGTCTGCGGTGCTTCAGGCCGCGGCGCGACGGGCGCGAAGGCCAGGACCCAGCAGACCACCCAGCGCTGCACCATGGCGCTGGCCGTGAGCATCGTGGAGGAGGCAGAGCCCGACTTCCGGGAGCTGATGAACATGCAGCCCAGACACACCTCGCTCAACCGGACGCCGAACACGATTTCTGCGGGGGAGCGCCACCCGTGTTTTGTGGGGGTCCCGGTTTAAACGGACGGAAGGACACCTCCAGAAGCCAAAGGGGACGCTATGGTCGAAGGAAGGAAGGTTGCCACCTGGCGCGTTAGGCGTGTGTGTTGGCTTTGGGGTCCCCTCAGTCAAACGGACGGCCGGAGATAAAACACGGGAGGCAGCCAAAAAGAAGAGGTGGGCGAAATGGGGCTGGCCTGAAATGATGGAGCACGAAACGTGGTTTCCGTTTGATTTCCCTTCAGTCTCTTTGAACAAACCAAGAAAAGGGTACCTCAAAAGAAGACACACCCACCTTTAGATTGGTGATTTCGAGGCGAAAAGAAGGCCTCCCAATCTCAGGATCGCAAGAGGCGGGAAGGGGTGCTTGACAACCTGGGGAAAAAACCAGAAAGGGGCGGGGAATAAGGGAGTCCAACGATTTGCAAGTGGACCAAGCACATGCAGCCTGGGAACCCCCTCTATCACCCAAAAATGAAGTTGCAATGATGGTAGGGCCTTTTCGACCAATTGGCCATGGGTCAAAATCCCATACCCCCAGTGAACATCCCAATCCCAACTAAAAGGATCCCATTGATTTTGACCCACAGCCAAATGGCAAAAGTATCACCCAAAAAAGGGCTCCAAAAGGGCTGATGTTGACCCCAGATGAAACCCGGTCAGTTGGTTGCCCAAATTCGGTCAGAATTTGCGGGTTGCTTCCCGGGCCAAAACGGATGGCTCAGGCAACTCAAGATCTAGATGGCACCAATGAGTAGAACCAAACTGAAACCATTGAAAGCACACCTGCACATGCAACTAGGCAGCTGAACCTGATGTTCGCGTCCAATTTGTTGGGGAAAAAATCGAAGCCAAAAACGGGGCAGGGCATTTTTGCGGGTCCCTCTGGGTCCGAAGGTCCCAAGCCGGACTCCGACTTGCCGCCTTTGGCCCCCGGCTCCGGCGGAGAGCGCTAGGACATTGCCCAGGTTCACGCCCTTGCCGCCAAAGGCCGCCTGCGACGAGCGACTCGCCAGGCGACTCGCCGAAGAAAGCGCGGCCCCCCAAACATAGGTGTCATTTTAGGGGAAATAGATGGATATCCCTGGATGAGAAAAAACCACCAGGTAGATGATTAAAACCAGGGCCATCGATTGTTCTACCAAATCAGGACACCTATGCCCCCAAAGGTGTTTTCAAGAACCTTGGGACCCCTAACAGTTCATGGGGATGTTTTGGTGATCTGCAATACCCAACCTTCGCTCGGTCTTTCAACACCCATTTCTGGTTGGTTTCATCCATCGGCTTTGTGTCCATCCGCGTTTCTGGGTTTTGAAAACCGTGTTTTCCCTCACCCACCCCCACCAACCCACCCCTCCGCGTCTCAAACATCTCCGGCGCCTCGGGGTCTGAGATCAGCACGGCCCCGGTCAGCGAGAAGGTGACCGCCACCAGGTGCAGCTTCGTCAAGGGCTCCTTTTCGCTTTCGCTCGCTGAGGGTTTTTGTATCACACCCTGGGATTACACTGGGAAATTACCCAGAATATTTCAAAATAACACGATTTTATCCGGAAATGCGCCTAAATGAGGTCAATATACAGTGGGCTTACTCCCATGTTGTAATACAAAAACCCTTAGATCGCTGGAGGTGAGGCTCGAGCGGCAAGGCGAGGCGCGAGGCTCGAGCCGAACTGGGTGCCCATTTTTTGAGGTTGGTCTGGAACGAAAAGGCAATGTGGAAGGGGGGGGGGGGCAGCCTCCGGGCTTTGTGCGAAACTGACAGAGAACTGGTTCATTTTCAAGGAAAAGTCCGTTTCTTTGCAGGACCCCCCTGAAGGGCAGGCTCCAACCGGAAAGCCCCTTGGATTTCCCAAAGCCCTGAATGGATTGTGTTTGTTGGCTTGGGGTGTGTTTTTCCCGGGCACAATTTCTGTCACATGTGACGCCTCGAGTTTGGCTGGGAGTTTGGCACTCTTGGGCGGCTTACCGGTAAACCACAATGGAAATCCTGCACCAAAGGGCCGCTTAACAATGTGCTTGGGCCAAGGAAAGACTGAAGGAAGCGCCTGACTTGGACTGGGTGGTTCTCCTTTGTATTTCCTAAACAAACCTTAAGCGCACCTAAAAAACAGAGATGCCCAAGCCTAACCCAAAAAGACGCCTTGTGAAAAACGCTTTGCCCACTCCTGGGTGTCCTTTTTTTGTTTGTGTTTCTTCTTTTTGTTTCAATTATCATTGTTTTACAAGAGCACAGGCAAATGTGTGGAACTGATCTAGCAAGGTGGAGCAAGAGAGAAAATGCGCCCTAACCAATGCAGGAGAGCTTCTTCTTTTTGCAAAGCACTATTTACCAGTAGAGCCGGCGAAGCCGGTGGGCGGAAGTTTCACAAATATAAAAACTATAGTTCTCTTTCTCTTTGTTTTCTTGACTCTTTTCTCTTCTTCTTCCTTTTCATTGTTTCTTCTTTCTCCGTCATTCTTTCTTTCTTCCTTTCTTTCCTTCCTCCTCCCTTCTTTCCTTCTTCCTATCTGTCTTTTCTTTCTCTATTTTTTGCTTGTTTTTGTGCTGTTCTTTTTTTGTCTCTTCGCTGTCTATCTATCTGTCTATTTATCTATCTATCTATCCGTCTCTCTCTCTATCTATCTACCCAACTACCTATATCTATCTCTCGTGTTATCTATCTATCCGCTTATCTAGCTATCTATCTCTCTATCTATCTTCTCTATCTATCTATCTGTCTCTCTATCTATATATCTACCTATCTCTCTATCTCTCAATCTCTCTATCTACCCCTCTATCTCTCCCTGTCTGTTTATCTATCTATCTATCTATCTATGTATGTATCTATCTACCTCTCTTTCTATCTATCTATCTATCTATCTATCTATCTATCTATCTATCTATCTATCTATTTCTCTATCCATCTACCTCCATCTACCTATCTATCTATCTATCTCTCTATCTCTCTTTTAATTTATTTATCTACCTATCTCTCTATCTATCTATCTGTCTATCTATCTTCTGTTTGTTACTGTTTGTTTATCTAACTATCAATTTGTCTCTCTATCTATCTCTCTGTCTCTCAGTCTCTCTTTCTATCTCTCTCTCTCTCTCTCTATCTCTCTATCTCGCTATCTATATAACTACCTATCTGTCTCGCTATCTGTCTATCTCTCTATCTATCTCTCTATCTATCTATCTCTCTGTCTATGTATCCCTCTATACTACCTATCTATCTATCTATCTATCTATCTATCTATCTATCTATCTATCTATCTATCTATCTATCTACTTCTCTATTTTTCTATCTATCTATCTATCTATTGCTCTATCCAGCTACCTATCTATCTATCTATCTCTCTATCTGTCTTTCTATGTATTCATCTCTCTTTCTATTTATCTATCTATCTATCTCTCTATCTCTCTATCTCTCTTTCTTTCTTTCTATCTATCTCTCTATCTCTCTCTATCTCTCTTTCTCTCTATCTCTCTTTCTTTCTGTCTATCTATCTATCTCTCTATCTCTATCTATCTCTCTTTCTATCTATCTATCTATCTATCTGTCTCTTTGTCTCTCTCTATGTCTGTCTATCTATGTATCTCGCTCTCTCTCTCTCTCTATGTATCTCTCTCTCTATCTCTCTCTGTATCTATCTCTCTAGCTATCTCTTTATCTGTCTATCGATCTATCTATCTATCCATCTATATCTGCACTTAAAAGTTGCAATTTTCAAGCCCCGAAAGTTGACTTCGCGTACTACTTTCGTACTTAAAAGTTGCGATTTTCAAGGTTCGGCTGCAAAAGTTGACCTTGCGAAAATGCGTCGCGTGCCACGAAATCTTTACTTGACCTTGCGAAAGTGGCGTGCCTTCCACGGATTTTGCACTTGACCTCGCGAAAGAGCTGCGCCTGCCACGAAATCTGCACTTGACCTTGCGAAAGTGCCGCACCTGCCACAAGTTCTATACTTGACCTTGCGAAAGTGCTGCGCCTGCCACGAAATCTGCACCTGACCTGCCGAAAGTGATGCGCCACGAAACCTAGTCGCGAACGTGCTGCGCCTGCCACGAAATTCAAACCTTGAGAAAAGTTGACCTTGCAAAAGTGATGCGCCTGCCACAAATTCTGTACTTGACCTTGCGAAAGCGCTGCGCCTGCCACGAAATCTGCACCTGACCCGTCGAGAGTGCTGCACCTGCCACGAATTCTTGCGAAAGTGCTGCGCCTGCCATGCAATTCAATCCTTTGGAAAACTTGACCTTGCGAAAGTGCTGCGCCTGCCCCGAAATCTGCACCCGACCTTGCCAAAATGCTGCGCCTGCCACGCAAGTCAAACCCTGCGAAACCTCAGAGTTGCCGCGTCAATGGGCCAGGCGCCGAGCATGCTCCGAGCATGCTCCGAGCCCGCGCCGAGACCACTCCGGGACCGCTCCGACCAGATGCCGCGGACAGGCTAGCTTTCGCATCTGCGGAGATCCGGAGACGCCGATTCACGCACAGGGCCACGTTTTTTGCGACTTTACACGTGCGCGCATTTTTTCTCGCGGGCTTATTCCTTCTCTTGGCATTTGTCTCTGTGAGCTAGCTTTCAATTAGTTGCCGTAACACGGAAGTTCCTTCTAAACTTCCTTTGATTACTATTACTGCTACTATTATTATTAATTAATTAGTTAAATAGTTTTATTGCTAATAATTCTGCTAATATTAATTCTTATGATAATTTACTACTATTACTGTTATTATTATTATTACTCTTAATTCATAATATTTCATTAATTTTATTATTACTGTGATTATTGTTGTTATTATCATTACTAATAATACTATTACCATTTTTTATGATTATTACTGATATTACGATTGTTGTTATTATTATATATTGCTGTTATGACTGCGGGGCCAAGTGGGTCGACGTCGACCCATGTCTCCGTGTCCTTCAAAACCAAGCGCCCGAGGAGCGCCGCGACCACCGTGTTCACGCTCAACAAGGCGCCCACCGAGCCTCCGCTCAGAAGCCGCTGAGCCACCGACCAAAAATCCGATGGTTCAAAGAGGGCCAAGGAATGGGAACCCAAAACCCTACAGGATTTTTGGGGTGTAGGAAAGGAAAGCCCTGAATGGCCTTCAAGTTTTGCGCTGGGTTGGGGAATTGGGGCTGAAGCAGGAAAAACATGCAAAAGGTCCAAATGAGGAAGGCGGACGTGCTGAAACGCCCCAACGGTCGATCCCGGAAAAGACGCGCAAGCCGCACTTTCCAGGTTTCCAAGCGGAAAGAAACTCTGGCAACCGTCCCTTTCATCACCCCTTCCAAGCACATACAGAGGACGAACACTTTGTCAGCTGGCAACTATGCCGATCGCGAGACAATCTGTGCCTTTGTCCTAGATACGTAGAAATGTGTATATATATATGTATGTGAACAAAAAGGAAACCACCTAGCGGCAAAAACGAAGGCCGGAACAAAGGCCCCAAGCCCGAAAAACAAGGCAAACCACAAAAGCGGAAAAAAAGTTTTTTAGAAGATGGCCCCAAACCAGAACTAGCATGGTGTGGTCTAATTTCTTCCTGGGTTTTGGGGAGCAGGCCATCCACTTGCGAGCCTCACTGCATTGTGCCTCTGAAAGGATCGAAAGTGCAATGGAACTGCAGGGCAACAAATTCCTGGCTTGCACAACTTTAGTTAGGCTACACGTTGCATAGGACGGTCATGTGAGTTCAATTGGAATTCGGATTTTGAATCAGACATCAAACACGCATTCCTTTCCAAGTAGCTAGTTTCTTTACGTTGAAATAGACTTTGCACAGGAAGTCCTTTCCAAGTAAGTGGTTTTTTGGACATCAGTGTTCAAAGGAGTGAAAATGCAATAGAAACCAAGGGAAAATTGGATTTCAGTTCTATTGGTTTTTTTGCAGAACCTTCAGTAGAATTCAATTGAACATAGTTTGACGAGGGGGAGCCCTGAGGAAGTTTACTTGGCAAGTGGTAAGTCAGGGGGGGACACTCGGCTTACATGAACCCTGTGAGGATTAATCCACTTCCGGTTTAAAATTCCTTGCGGCCTTTCTGCCCCATCTCTGCAGGATCAAGGAGGGTCGCGGAGCAAGGGGGGTAGCTACACATCTGTATATATATATATACATATATATATATATATATATACGCTCACCCCCCCCCCCCCCCATGCCTGGATCATGGGTAGGGAACCCCCCACAAGAGTTAAGGATATCATATCTGTAAACATGTTCCTTGCAGCGCTTCTGGTTCAACCTGTTCCTGCACCCGCATCTGTCTGCTTCACCTAATGGCATGAAGCTCCTCAGCAAGCACAATCCCTGGCAAGGTCCTTCGACAAGGGCATGCACTCTGGATGAGGCGATTGCAAACACAGACGGCATGAAGATCATCACCCTTGAGAAACCTATCATCGTGAACAAGGAGCCGGGCTCTATCAAGTTTGGTCACCTACAAGCAAAGATGACCATCGATGCGGCAGGTGCAGTTCATCGAGGCACGAGGGCGTGATTGATCTCAAGCACATCGGGACCCTTTTCCTCCAACAGAGGTACGCCGACCTCCCACCTCCCATCTCCGTGAAGGGCAACTTCCAAGCCCCATAGAACATGCAGCTGTTCATCATTCCGAAAGACAGGGGCAAGTCTGATATCGAGAATGGGGACGGCCAGTTCACTTCCTGAACGGAAACAGAAGAGCAGGTGAACAACTTTCATGGTCCCCTATACAAATGGGACCATCAATAAGTTCCTGCGCTGTTTGGCAGACCAGGGCTGCCAAGCAAACTATCGAAGACTGGCCCCTCACCTTCCGCATCACCCCGTGCATTGAACACAGTGATTGCGCCGATTCTCCCCCACATCCTGGGAAAGTCCCAAGTCGGCAAGAGACCTGTGTCATACACTCTCTCGTCCGTGGTGTCAGCGTACTGGATCCTGCAGCAGGACAAGGAGGGAGCTCCGGCTTTCCAGATGCAACCACTTGCACTACTTCTGCAAGCAAAAGCGTCGGAGAACTAAGCCGAGGATGTTTGATGATGGCAAACCTCGAGCACCCTGCCTCCGTGAAGGCTGTGACAGAAGTGGACGGCATAGACAGGAAGACAATGGCAAGGTGCAACGCCCCAGCGTACGCCAAGAACCAGCTCTTCTACAGTGTCTTCAAAAGGTCAGTCTTCGTCGTGTTCACCGATGTCGCCATCTATGTGACGGTGCCCGGGCCTACAAGTTGAAGATCCCACAGGTGCACCAGTGCAATGTGGTGCACCAACAGAAAAGCAGAAGATCGGGGTTTGAGCATACACATGCACATGTCTTCTGTCAGACCTTATGCCCCTTTGCCTGTCAGGAGGTGTGGGTCCGTCCCCACTACACCAAGGTCTATCAGGTCTTGCCAGCTCGAATATTGGCACAAAGGTTACAACATGTGGAAGGCCACTGGCGACATGCTTCACTTTCTGCACACGCAGGAGTGATGTGACATACTCAACATCTTCGGAATTCGTTCGGAGTTCTTGCGGAACTTCCTCGGAAACCATTCGCAAGCCTTTCCGAAAGCATGCCCAGCCTCGGAGCCCCCCCCCCATATGCTTGGGGCATTACGTGCTTGTCAAAGCCTCTAGAAAGGTGCCCTCTCAGCACTTTAGAAGCTTTCGGTGACTGAAGTGCTGTAAGGGTACCTAAAAAACCCAAAAAAATGCAATTCCGTAAAGGTGCAAAGGTACCTAAAAAACCTATAAAAAAACAATCTCTAGAGGTCTTCAGCGTTTTTTGGATTGTTAGGTACCCTTGCAGCACCTTGAACCTTTAGTTTTGGTTTTTTAGGTACCCTTACAGCACTTCAGGCACCGAAAGCTTCTAAAGTGCTGACCAAAAAACCCAATCCATTTCTACCTAAAAAACCTAAAAACAATCCATAGGCTGAAGACCTCTAAAGATTGTTTTTTTAGGTTTTTTAGGTACCCTTACAGCACTTTGGGCCTTTAGGGGATTGTTTTTTTTGTCGCTTTGGAGGGCTTGGGCGCCTAAAGTCTTGTGTGGGCAATGAAAACAAAGCGTACAATGCTGCATTTGCTTCACACGCAAGTTCTCAACTCTCGTGTCGAATGGTTTGTCCAACACCAAAACACCTGTTCAAGGGCGACACCTGTATGTCTTGAGCAATGCAAGGTTGTCTGCTAAACAATGTAAGGCTGCCTGGGGTCACACAACCTAAGATCCCAAACGAAATCTGTTTTGCATGTTGCTTCCTGAAAAAAGTGCAAAACACTGCTATTTACAGTGTTTTGTACATATACAAGATTGAACCTGGATCATGGGGGGGGGGCTGACCATATACATACATACATAACATAACATAACATAACATAACATAACACAACATAACATAAACATAAACATAAACATAACATAACATAGCATACATTACATTACATTACATTACATTACATTACATTACATTACATTACATTACATTACATTACATTACATTACGTACATACATACATACATAGATAGATACATACATACATACATTTCATACATACATACATACATACATACATACATACATACATACATACATACATACATACATACTTACATTACATACATACATACATACATACATTACATACATACATACATACATACATTACATACATACATACATACATACATACATACATACATACATACATACATACATACATACATACATACATACATACATACATGCATACATGCATACATACATACATACATACATACAGACATACAGACATACAGACATACAGACATACAGACATACAGACATACAGACATACAGACATACAGACATACATACATACATACATACATACATACATACATACATACATACATACATACATACATACATACATACAAACATACATACATTACATAAATACATACATACATACATACATACATACATACATACATACATACATACATACATACATACATACATACATACATAAATACTTACATACATACATACATACATACATACATACATACATACATACATACATACATACATACATACATACATACATACATACATACATACATACATACATTAATTACATTACATTACAATACATTACATTACATTACATTACAATTACATTACATTACATTACATTACATTACATACATACATACATACATACATTACATACATACATACATACATACATACATACATACATACATACATACATACATACATACATTACATTCATTACATTAATACATACATTACATTACATTACATTACATTACATTACATTACATTACATTACATTACATTACATTACATTACATTACATTACATTACATACATTACATACATACATACATACATACATACATACATACATACATACATACATACATACATACATACAGACATTACATTACATACATACATACATACATACATACATACATACATACATACATACATACATACATACATACATACATACATACATACATACATACATACATACATACATACATACATTACATACATACATACATACATACATACATACATTACACTACACTACACTACATTACATACATACATACAACATGCATGCATACATTTCATACATACATACATACATACATACATACATACATACATACATACATACATACATACATACATACATACATTACATACAAACATACATACATACATACATACATACATACATACATACATACATACATACATACATACATACATACATACATACATACATACATACATACATACATACATACATACATACATACATACATACATACATACATACATACATACATACATTCATAAATACATACATACATACATACATACATACATACATACATACATACATACATACATACATACATACATACATACATACATACATACATACATACATACATACATACATACATACATTA